TGGGAGATTTTAACTTTAAACAAATTGATTGGAACAATATGACAGGAAATCTTGAGTCTAGTGACTTTCTTGATACGGTTCAGGTTTGCTTTTTAGAACAGGTTAATGATGAGCTTGGGGAAAGTGATCACAAATCAATTAGTATCAATATATCATGGAATTGCTCAGATAACTGCAATCAAATCTCTGTCCCAGATTTTCGCTTGTCCGACTTCATGAGACTGAAAAATTACTTGGGTGGGCTAAATTGATATGTCCTGACTATGGGTCAGGTAGGTGATCTTGGTTGCCAACATGACGTTTTTCAGAGTATAGTTCTAGCTGCCCAGACAACTTTTGTTCCGAGTAAGGAAATTAGATCTAACAAAAATGATCCCAAATGGATGAGCAACAGATCAAAACATCTCATTGGTCAAATGAGAGGCATATATAGGTGTTTCAAAAGAGGGGATGGGCAGTTAAGAAATCAATACATTCAATTAAAGAGAGAAATAAAGAAAGGAATAAGAAAAGCAAAAAGGGATTATGAGGCTAAGGTCGCAAGGGATTCAAAGACTAACCCAAAAGGGTTCTTTCAGGTATACAGAAGTAAGATTAGGGACAAGATTGGCCCACTTAAGAGTAACTCTGGTCAGATCACTGACAGTGATAAGGATATGTGTGAAATTCTCAATACCTACTTTCTCTCAGTTTTCACCCAGGAAAATACTAGCGTAATTCCTGAAATAATAGATTATGTAGAACAGGATAATAAACTATGCACGATTGCGGTAACTAGTGACATGGTCCTCAGACAAATAGAGAAACTAAAACCTAACAAATCCATAGGCCCTGGTGAACTGTTTGCAAGGGTGTTAAAGGAATGTAAAGAGGAACTTAGCATACTTTTGGCTAATCTTGTTAACATATCACTACAAACTGGCATAATGACTGATAAGTGGAAAATGGCAAATGTAATACCTATTTACAAGGCAGGTGACAGGTCCTTGGCTTCGAACTATAAACCAATAAGCTTTACCTACAAAGTGGGAAAATTTATGGAATCAATAATTGACGAAGCAATTCGTAGCCATCTTGGCAGGCACAGATTGATTAATGAATCTCAACACGGTTTTACAAAGGGGCGTTCCTGTCTTACGAATTTACTAACTTTTTTCACTAAGGTGTTTGAGGTAGTAGATCTTGGTAATGAATATGATATTGTGTATATGGACTTCAGTAAGGCTTTCGATAGAGTTCCACACCAGAGGCTATTGAGGAAACTTAAGGCACACGGAATAGGAGAATTTTTTTCCTTGGTAGAGGCATGGCTAGCAAATAGACAGCAGAGAGTTTGCATAAATGGGGAGAAATCAGAATGGGAGCACGTCACAAGCGGTGTTCCTCAGGGGTCAGTGTTGGGCCCTATTACAACCTAGGAATCCAAATGGCCTGTTATCCTGGGTGTAATGGGAGCAAAATAAACACAGCAGAAAAAGTTTAGACATATTATCCTTCACCAATTTAGAACAGCAATATGTACACTATGTACAGTGATAAGTATAGTGCACTCCACGGTAAGCAAGGCAGAAATAGAAGCCACAAGATAGCAGACCGTGCTTCAACCAGCTCTAGAATGGGAATGACAAGGGCAAACAGGAGAGTGGTGCCCACATAACCTCTGCGATTGCCAAAACCATCTTCTTATTGGCTGGATCCTGGCCATCACTAGTTGAACGACGGGGCCCCATCATCAACTCCCAGTAACCTGGTTCGCTGGTTGGGGGAGATAGCCTGTAAATGAGGGTGTGTACATGCGCCGAATAAAGGTTACGTACTCTTTGCATGCCACAGGCCCGTTGTTGTTCACAATTGACATAAACGACATAGATGAGGGAATAAATAGCAACATAAGCAAATTTGCTGATGACACCTAAATAAGCCGTCCAATCATTCTAATAAGGACACTAGAGCACTCCAGGATGATTTGAATAGACTGATGCAATGGTCGGAGAAGTGGCAGATACAGTTTAATATTGACAAATGCAAAGTTCTAAATGTTGGACAGTTAAATAACCATGCCACATATAAACTAAATAATGTAGATCTTAATACTACTGATTGCGAAAAGGATTTAGGAGTTCTGGTTAGCAGTAATTTAAAACCAAGACAACAGTGCATTAGTGTTCGCAATAAAGCTAACAGAATTCTTGGCTTCATATCTAGAAGTATAAATAATAGAAGTCCTCAGGTTGTTCTTCAACTCTGTATATCCTTGGTTAGGCCTCCTTTAGACTATGCTGCTCAGTTCTGGTCACCGTATTACAGAATGGATATAAATACTCTAGAAAACGCACAGAGGAGGATGACAAAGATGATCCCATGTATCAGAAATCTTCCCTATGAGGATAGACTGAGGGCCCTGAATCTGCACTCTCTCGAAAGGCGTAGAATTAGGGGGGATATGATCGAGGTGTATAAATGGAAAACTGGAATAAATAAGGGGGATGTAAATAGCGCGCTAAAAATTTCCAGCCAAGACAGGACTCACAGCAATGGTTTCAAGTTGGAAAAATTCAGATTCAGGAAGGATATAGGAAAGCACTGGTTTGGTAATAGAGTTGTGGATGAGTGGAACAAACTCCCGAGTACAGTTATTCAGGCTAAAACATTGTGTAGTTTTAAAAATAGGCTAGATAAATACATGAGTGGGTGTGGGTGGGTGTGAGTTGGACTTGACTAGCTTGTGCTGCTGGGTCTGGTGCCGTGCTCCATCCTTGAGTGGAGGTGACCAGACTGGGTGGGTCATTGGGTTAATCCGGGGGGGAGGGTCATTGGTCTATTCGGGGGGGGGGATATGGACATGCTCCGCATGGGTCAGTAGGCCTGTTGCAGTGTTCCTTCTTTCTTATGTTCTTATGTTCTTAAGAAGTCCCTCCTCTCTCGCGCTCTCTCTCCAGCCAGGCTGAGGGCCTGGCTGGAGAGAGCCTAGACACACTGGCTGTTCCAAGAACCCATTAAAGATAAAACATCCTCCGAAGAGTATCATTTATCACCAAATACTACATTCATTATAAACATATTACTCAACGGTGAGTAGGCAAGAGCCGCATAGACTGCTTGCAAAAGCAAGCAGTCTATTTTTAAAATCAATATACAAAAAGATCTAAAACAACGTGTCATTCAACAATAAATGCATTTTAATATTATGGCATGCCATATAGCCTAAAATCTGTTCCTGAGCACAAGGAAGCCTGTGATAAAATCTGAATGAATTATTTTCACGAGGACAGAGCTAGAGAAAAGTCCACCCACAGACATTCACAAATACGTAAGACTGATTTACAACCCTTACAAACAGATACATAATGCACATGTGCAACACTTGGAATCTTTATTGTGAAGACGATTCACAAACCAGTGGCTTTACTAGTCTATTACAGAGAATAAGAGTGAAGATGGTGAAAGACAAGAAAAAGTAGTTTGAGGTGATCAGTCCCTCAGCCTTGATGAATCTGTTGGACACGGTTGAAGACTTGAAGAAGTAGTTTGAGATAATCAGTCTCTTTGCTGTGGAAGGAGGAGAATTCTTCTACAACTCTAATGCTTGACTAACCTTTTAGCATGACCTATTTCCCACTAGTTTTCTCCGCCCACTTGTCATTCGGTTTCTAATTTGCTTCACTTCTCCTATTGCCAGTATATGACTCCATCCTCGCGCATCTACCTAAGATTCTTAAAGACTGTTGGACTGAATACCTCCTTCAAAGATAGAGGGACTGATGACTTCAAACTACCTTTTCACGTGTTCCACCATCTTAACTATATTGATAAAGCCACTTGTTGGCGAAACGTTTTCATAAAAAAGCTGCCTAAGTGTTGCACATGTGTTTTATTAATATACTGTCCCGTCAAGACTTTTCCTCTAATCACCAAATCATTCACCCATCTTATTCCTCAGAGGCAACGGCACTCTGTCGTTAGGTTGCTTGTAAGTTTATATTGGCCAACTTGTAAGCCAATATTTTCGCTGGTGGTTGCCCCAAGGAGAAATATTCATGGGAACGAGGACGACTCTACTACCCACCATTCATCATACCAGAAACTGAATTACTGTTCATACTCACACTCTCGGGACAACCCTTGTTATGCATCATCGTACAGAGTTCTTTTGGTATTAACCTTCGCCTAATTTCCATACAAATAACAAGTGCAGCACTACAGCATCACTGACGTGAGAAAGATTAGGCTAGGTATATAAGCTTAAGGAATTCACGAAACTTCTAAATTTGTCAGATATTTCAACCCCAGCAGCAGCAAATCCTGATACTCATAAGATAAGCTCTCGGACAAAAACACATTTCACGAACACCAGAACAAAGTAGCAGACTTGCAGTATTGGGTTGTGTTGTTTACCAACTCTCAGGTGCAGATGTTACTCGATCACTCACTCGAGTCAGGAAGGTAAAACCAGACAAATATAAGTAACTTCTTTGGGGTTATATGTTATGGCTCTTACCGTAATGCATACAAAAAAAGCAGTTCAACATAAGGGGCAAGTGTAACTAACAATAATTATTTCTGATACACGAGAACCAGCCCAGTGAGCTATATCTAACTTGAGCTTCCTGGAAGGTGGCTATAAGACGAGTTTACTCTGCTGGATTCATTACTATAGAATGAAAAGGAAAAACACTCAGCGGCCATTTAATTACGTGCATCCTTCTAGCACTGAGTTCTTCGTGGTATGGATTCAATAAGGTGCTGGATATATTTCTTAGAGATTCTGGTCCAGGTCGACACGATAGCAACACGCAGTTGTTGCAGATTTGCCAGCTGCACATTAATACAGCGAATCTCTCGTTTCAACACATCCAATGCAGCTCTAGCATGGAGTCTTTCCCTAGTACAGGAAGTTATGAAACTGGAGTAAGTGGAAAGGTATGCAGGGAGACTAGTCAGAGAGGTAAGAGGAAAGAATTATTTTGAAATGTTAAAGGTGTTGAACATGACTGCATTAGGGAACTGAAGTCTTTGGGAGACATGATTATGACATACAAAATATTAAGAAAACTTGATAGGGTGGACAAGATAGCAATTGCTATTCGAGAGGCATGGAATTGGTTCACGGGGGCACAGTTAGGAACTGAAGACAGGTGAGTCACATGGATGTCAGGAAGTATTTCATCAGTCTCATAGTTCAGGAAGTTAAATGGCCTGTACAAGGAATTAGCAAAGGCAGGTTGCACATATAGTTTTAAGGCTAGGTATGACAGTGCTCACAAGGCAGTGAGGGAGTAACTCTGGCAACGTTCAAGCTGAGATGCAATACCTGGACCTGAGACTCGACTCCATAACCATAAACAGGTGTTTATACACGCACACGTAAAATGGACCCAGGCATAATGGTAATGTAATTAGGCTGGGTAATTACATTCGCTCAGTCATATGATCATGACCAACAAGGAAAACAGCTGAGCACCAGAGCGAACGGAGTTTAAAACAGAAAATGGTAACTAGAATGTAGGAAATTGGATATAGTAATCAAAGAACTATAATTGCAAAAAAAAAAAAAAGTGAAGTCAGAAGTGTAGCTAGATATAACATTTGGGGAGATAATTATAATAAAAAAAATAGAGTAATAAATCAAATTAATTTTCCCAATAAAAATAAGTACAGAAATTAAATCTAATTGCAAAACCCAATTTTCTTTTGATAAGCCTAAAATTTTGTTATGAATAATTATTTCCAGCTGAACCTGAGTGTTTTAGATGTCTAGATTAATATTTTAGATTTTTCTTTGGTTCTCAAAGCAGGAGCAGGTGTGCTCCTATGTCTGGTGATAGGAAGACTAAGGTTAGAAATAGTTTTTTTTTTTTTAGGTTTAATGATTTGGAGTTTGTTTCTTGGTAAATTCTACTCTCACGAGGTCTCCCAAAGATTAATTCCTTGTCCATGCGATGGTTGGAGGATCTTTGTGGAAGAATAAAGCCGAAGAGTTTCCTCGTATCTGTCAGTGATCCAGCTTTACAAGTCTTCACGATGTTTGCCTAGATTTTTTCTGAATTGGGCTGTACCGAAAGACCCAGATCTTTCCCTTGCTTGCTTGAGGGTCTTGCTAAGAAGTTACTGGCGAGACATTTTACTGTAATTATCAGCAACATTGGACAGAGCTTCTTTCGGGTACCCTCGCCTTTTGAAGAAGTTGAGCATTGCTTCTAAGACTTACACTAGTTGTGAGAGCTCGCTGGTAATTCTTTTAATCCTAAGAGATGAGGAAAAAGGAAGAGACTCCTTCAGTATCCTCGGGTGGGATGAGGTACAAGGAAATATTGTCGTGCGTTTGAAGGAATGGGATAGGTTCCTTCTTTTGAAGGATCCTATCCGAATTTAGATATACTATTGTATGTGGATACACTATTGTGCTCCTATTCTCCTGGATGAACCGAAGGAAATGACGAACCTTGTTCGTCTATATGTGAGAGTTTTGCATTGCTTCGTATCTTCCTTTTAGAATGCAGATGTCAAGACATCTTATATAGATGACTGTCCCAGGCCCTGTCCGCTGGCGACCCGTCTTAAAATGTAGTAAACAAATGTCTCAACCATTGCTACAATGACGCTGGCCCCAGTGGCAGTGCTGAACTGATGAGCAGTGTCTCTCATGACGTGAAGAAGAGCAAACTAAACCGGGATTTCGAGGGTGGGTGCCGAATTTTTATTTACCGTAGCATAGGTAGAATTTTATTGTGATTTCTTCGTAGAGTTCGGCTACAACCTCTGCTGCTTTCCTTTTTGGAACGGAAAGATACTAAGATTTGATATCCAGTAACACCAGTCTGTAGTCCATGGGAAGTGGTCCCAAGGATGCTTTGATATTTTCAAGGATCTACTGAAAGTAGGTGGTGTCAATGATCCTCTCCGGGAGAAAGTCTAGGAAAGTCATTAGTAGAGTTGTAAGGATCTTGTTTACTGGGCTGGTTTGTGCGACGCAGCCTGACGGCACTCGGCGGGTTTTCAATTTTTCTGTCTGAGGGGTCAAGATCCTCATGGATTTGGAAAAAAAAAGTTCATACAAGGCATTTTAGACACACGTCTTGACACTAACACACATCTGTGAGTCATTATTCATTGACGCATGGCTAGTGGTGGACCTACATTTTTGATGCCCTGAAGCTTGAACTGTTATGAGGGCCCCTTTCGTAACCAGCAATGGTTGGTATTGAAATACACTATATTATTAATATTATTATTTAATAAAAAAAAGCCTTCTCATACAGCAGACCCAAAATTTTTAAGCAATGTGGACTAAAGTCGCTTTGGGGCCCCTCCGGGATTAAGGCCCCTAAAGGTTAAGCTCCATTAGTTTCATAGTAGATCCGCCCCTGCGTTGACACCTTTTAACTATACTTTTATATGTGAGCCAATAGTGTTTCTGTGATGATCAGTCACCCCGCCAGCTTCTAAGAAACTTCTGGAAATTGCCTAGAGAGAATGGTTGCCAAACTCTCTCTGGGTCTGTCGTACCTTGTCACTGGTTCAGTGTGGACGTGCTGCTTCTGCTGTTGGTTGAATCTTCCCTTACCTTCACTTCTAAGAGTTATTGTTTGGCTTTGTATATCTTCGTACATCTCTGGTGGTAAGGCAGAGTTTACTGGATTTTTATGTAGGTTTTATTTCACAAGGATCTTGTGTAGGGTCCATATGTCCGTCCTGTGAATGACTGGAGGTAATTGTGTCATGATACCTTTATAGTCAGTGCTTGGCTTCAGGCATTCAACGTTCTTGGTTATCTGTGCACCGTCACTGTCGGGGTACATGTAATCACATTCCCTCGCATTTTAATTGTGAATTTTCTTTGGTTTTAGGATCTCTTAGGGTGTTTGATGATCGCTGTTGCTGTTTCATGTTTGCTTTAGCTAGTCAAAGTGTTCCGCAACGTCGGATCTCTCTTGGACAGGCTATTCAGCATGTCGTCGTTATTTGGATCCTGTGAGCTCATAAAGTTTATACATTCCTTACATGTTCCCCACAGTGTTCATAGTATATAGATCATTCACTGAATTATTGCAACTTGTAAACACATACTACTGTTTAAGTATTCAACACGAGAGGAAGTCCACTGTGTTTTGGTCATCTATAAACACTAACTCTAAACATTCTCAGATACATGTATACCCTAGATTAATAAACCATTTTTAAGTTGTTTATATATGATGTTTCACTTTCCTCAACACATTTTTGAGGGTTTATCAAGTACTCAAGTTCACCCTTGGTGGTAAAACATTATTGTGTGAACACTTTTGTTACTACCTACATACAGGTCTGTTGTTGTGATTCGGACTGTAGAATCCACTGCAGTGGCGCGGGTATAAATAAGTTATGTATATCGTTTATTGTTTAAACACGGATGTATATCTCTCAATGGATATACACCCGAAGGTGTGTATCTCTGAGCTTGTGTACACCTTAAGGTGTGTAAACCATACCACGGGCGGGATTGAACCCGCGGTCAGAGAATCTCAAAACCCCAGACCGTCGCGTTAGCCACTGGACCAGCTAGCCACGAATCTTATTGTGGCTAGCTGGTCCAGTGGCTATCGCGACGGTCTGGGGTTTTGAGACTCTCTGACCGCGGGTTCAATCCCGCCCGTGGTATGGTTTGTTTGCAATCGTGTCATTACGATTTCGTGAGTTAAGGTGTGTATCTCAAAGCATGTATATACACCTAAGCGCAAAGAGTTTACTCTGCATAGTGTTTCAGGAATTAATCTTGATCGCTGGTGTGCAGGTGACTTGGAACCTATCGACTGTATTATTGTTTAGTCGATAAACTTTGAACAAGTTAACTGAACATCCATCTCTTAATGCACATAAAATGAAACTTTATTTTAATTTCTGTTTCAGAGATTCTAGCAATGGTGTGATGATAGACTTTGAACCTAAGAGAAAACTATCGTATCTTATGACGTGAGCTGTACTGTTCTATATGGTGGACCGATACGCAAGGAAAAAAATCATGGTGAAATGACTGAACTTTCCATAAAGCGGGTCAGCATATGACCGAAACCTGAGTCGGGTGAAATTATCCCATTTTTCCCTGACAAAGAAAACGCTGCCACCACCATTACCTACATTATCATGCAGATATTTTCTGTCTGTGAAGTTCTCGTGCAATAATGTATTTTTGTAAGCTCCTGAAGGCGTGAATTCGTCACAATAAATCCTGGTTATCATACAAGGACAGTTTATTTTCCATTATTACATGTGAATAATAAATCAAAAGAAATATTTTTTACACAGGTGAATTAAAATCTGTTGTCATGGTGTCTTGGTAAGAATGGAAGTAACAATTATATAAGGTATATAATAAAAGCAAATCTATCAAATAAGGGATATAATATAAAAAATGTATTAAATAAGGTATATAATACCTACAGATGTATCAAATAAGGTATATAATATAACAGATGTATCAAATAAGGTATATAATACCAACAGCTGTATTAAATCAATTTTATAATACTAACAGATACATTAAATAAGGTTTATAATACCAACAGGTGTATTACATAAGGTATATAATACCAACAGATTTATTAAATAAGGTATATAATATCAACAGATTTATTAAATAAGGTATATAATACCAACAGATTTATTAAATAAGGTATATAATATCAACAGATGTATCAAAACTTCACTCATGCACTTACCTAACCTTTCATAAATGTATCATTCATACATAATTGGAAATGTCTTAGTGGCTCGACAAGTGCAGTTCCCTAGTTATTAATGCTCATATCTCTTCGGTTGTTTATATATGTAAATTACATGGCAAGAGCTAAGCTTTGTTAGCTAGTGTCTCATTTATCAAGCTTTCTCAGATAAGCTTCGCGGATCACACACTTTTGTCGATGTAAAAGATTTATTAACTGCTCCAATTCATGTTTTTCCACTTGTCGATAAGAAAGAGTAAGACGCGTTTTCGATGTAAGGTAAAAAATATATAAATAAACAACAAATCAGAGATTGGTATTAGTAAACGCTGTCTTTATTAAGAATGAGAATGTGAGAAGTGGAAAGACTGACAGTGTTGATTTACACCGGCTGCAGAAAATAAATAAGTTAAATAAGTATAATTCAATTTGATCAAAATGAAACAAAACAATTCATCTGACTGATTTTGTTTTAATATTTCATGAATCAGTTAAAATGGTAACGATACTGCGAGCTCCTTCAGTGGGAAGAACGACAGTACAGACTTGCATTAAACAAACTGTTAGGGTATCATGTTGTCTCCGAGGTTGGAATGCTGATCATCGGTCACTACAGATCCATAGTTTTTTTCTGGACGTTCCCCATATCCACTCTACGTTTGTTTGGTATAGAAATCCGTGTGTTTGGATTCAAAGTAACATAAACGAACTCACACAAGTTCTGCTACTTAGAGTACAGTTGTCAAGTGGAAGTCGATAACTGAACTTCTTTTTTTTTACTTTTTAAAGGGCTATGGTGGCTTATGCAGTATGAACTTTATTCCCAGAAGTTTGGTGATTAAACCTTAGCTTAATGCTTAGATACTGCCCAACCTACCCGTGGCGCGGAGTAAAGAAAAAGAAGCTTGTAGAATATGGACGCGAATGTCTGGGTCGAAACCACAGCAGTAGAGATTGGAACTGGAGGATGTCGAATCCCTTTTTTTGAACTAAACCCAGGTGGAGTTTGGAACGGGATGAGCAAAAAAACTTTGGACAGTACAGCAGAAAGTGTTCGACTGTATCATCCTGCATGAGGCAACAAGGGTAGCTCGGGCTGTCTGCCAGGTGTATCTAGCAGAGATGTGCCGCTAGTCTGGTAATTCCAAAGACAGGAGCACCATGGTAACATCAGGGTTTAGCAGTAACAGGAATATGTCCAAGAAAAGTGGATCTGAGGGCTGATGTCGAGTCTGACAGCCAGAGTTGATGATAGGTCTGCCCTCTCAGTGGAGCCAGTTCATTTACCATCGAATATTAGATTTTCCATCCCTGTCTGGGAATGCGCTATATTTGCAGTCCGATCAACGAGCTCATCTTCTCGGATACCAGGAAGAGAAGGGAGCCATTGTAGAATAATGAGACAGCCCGGCTTCGAAATGAATAACAGCATGAGTTGATGTGTGCCTCCTATCAGGGCACAACGTGATACAGGCATTTCAGTGGAAAGAAGAGCAAGAAGAACTAAGAGTTTTAAAAATAACCATGTTTCTGTGTAAGCTACACACACACAAATAAGGATAATTTATGTATAAGGGAAAGTTTGAAAGGAGAGTGTATCATCCAGCCTCCAGACTTGGCACAGAGATAACTTGGGAAAAAAATAACCACCAGGGGAGGTTGATTGGGGTGAGGAGATGAAGTGACCCATACGAAGATACCAAGAGAAGAAACTTAAAAAAATAGAGATAATTTTCCTAGCTACCAGGTAGGCACCTGAAAGTATGAATGATGGAGAAGAGTAGCGCTGACAAGCACTCAACACAGGAGGGAGGAAGGGGAACCAAAGAGATCAAGAAAGGATAAAAAAAAAGGGCACAATACCGTGACAGGAATGATACACAAATAACACGTACATAGGAGACTGAAACTTTTGACAACGTTTCAGGTATTTGAGTAAGAAAATCAAGTTAAATACTTACCTAATATTAGAGTGGTTACATTAAGTGCCGCTATTATTGCCCGCACTCACCCCTTATTACCACAATCATTTGAAAATGAATTCTTTCCTAAACTGGGGGGAGAGGAATATAAAATTTCCCTAGCTACATATCAAAAAACAATAATGGGATTGTTGAGAATTTCTTAGAGTGCCAGTAATGGCCCCTGGGCTGTGTTTTGCCCAACCCACGTCTCCAGGAGCTATGAAGAGATATACTGGTAATTCCCTTAAAGAGCAATGTGAAAAAAATACGACGTTGCTAAATTTATATATATATATATATATATATATATAATATATATATATATATATATATATATATATATATATATATATATATATATATATATATATATATATATATATATATATATATATATATATATAATTTTATTTTTAACAAGTCGGGCGTCTCCCATCGAGGCAGGGTGACCCAAAAAGAAAGAAAATCCCCATCTAGAAAAGGCAATGAGTTATTTTCTTCAAACTCAACAGTAAAGTTTATAGAATGGGCTAAGCTATTTAATTTTCCAAGAAAATGGTGTATATCTACATTTTTGGGCATAAGACACAAAATATCATCAACATATCTGAACCATTTAGCTCTATTAGGGAGGATTGTGTTCTTAGTAACCTATACATGGAATTTTTTGAAACAAGGCTGCTTAACACAATCCTCCCTAATAGAGCTAAATGGTTCAGATATGTTGATGATATTTTGTGTCTTATGCCCAAATATGTAGATATACACCATTTCCTTGGAAAATTAATTAACTTAGCCCATTCAATAAACTTTACTGTTGAGTTTGAAGAAAATAACTCATTGCCTTTTCTAGATGTTTTAATTATTAAGGGTAATAATGAATTCAAATTTAAAATTTACAGAAAACCTACAAATAACTGTTCCTATGTCCACTACTATTCCTCGCATCAAGATAGAGTCAAACTGTCTGTTTTCTCATCAATGTTTTTGAGAGCTTTACGAATTTGTAGTCCTGAGTTCATAGATGAGGAAATATCCAAAATTTATGAAATAGGTAATGATTTAAAATACCCAAGAAATGTAATTGATAAATCTTTTAAAGTTGCTAGGAACACTTTTTATAATCCAAAAAAGGGCAACCAGCCTTATTCAACTAAAAATATGTTGGTTCTCCCTTACCATGAAAACTTGGTTGATATGCCTTCTCTTCTTAAGACTTTTAGTATTAAAGTTGTATTCAAAAATCTTGATACAGTAAAAAAACTTTTGATTAAGAATTCCCCCCAAAATGCTGATGGATGTGTCTATAAGATTCCTTGTAAAATTTGCGATAAAGTTTATTACGGTCAAACTGGTAAAAATCTCGAACTAAGATTAAAACAACATAAATATAGCATTAGAACTGGACAAGATTCCAATGCTCTATTTATTCATGTAAGAGATTTTAACCATCCAATTGATTTTCAAAAAGTTGAGAAAGTAGTATCAAGCAAGGCCATGGTCGACAGGAATATAATTGAATCTTGTTTCATAAAAAGCAGTTTTGACAATAATATGAATATTTCCTTTGGTTTATATAAATTAGATCCATTTATAATTAATAGAATTTGGGAAGAATTTAATAATACACTGGACAAATAAATAACTTGGGGGTGAGTTTTGCAAAGGACCTATCCAAGTTGGCTCGCCGCGCGTCACGTGTTTAACCGTTGTGGGATCTGATAGTGAGGTGCTGGCCGACCCCTTATATAGCTTCCTTGGATGCTTCACTTTCATAGTTCCTTGATAATGTGAGTAGTCACGAAAGCGCTTGGAATTTCTCTATTCTTTCAGAGTGGTTGTTTTGCATATATATATATATATATATATATATATATATATATATATATATATATATATATATATATATATATATAATATATATATATATATATTATATATATATAAAATATATATTTATATATATATATACATATATATATACATATATATATATATATACATATATATATATATATACTTTATATATATTATATTATATATATACATATATATATTTATATATATATTATATATATATATATATATGTATATATATATATATATATATATATATATATATATAATATATATATATATATATATATATATTATATATATATATATATATATATATAATTCTTTCAAAAATTGAAAGTTAAACAGGAAACATATCGCAAACTGAAGTGGAAAAAATGAGTTTAATGTTGGGCGGACAAGGATGTTCCCATTTTTTGTGGTGGAAAGTCAGA